TAATTTAATAATATCTCATAGGCACCTTTCTATTTTAATAGCAATATCGTAGTTCACAATATACTTGTTACAATGCCCAGTTTTAATTATTTCCAAAAATGTGCTGTATTGTCTAAGACTTCTGAAACAAGATGATTGCTAGTGGCATCTTACTTCTGCTTTACATGGAAATGTAGTAAATGATTTATTTAATATGATGTTTGTTTTTAGTTTTTGCTAACGAATGTTTATCATGGGTAAGATGGAATCCTGCTAATCTCACTTCAAATTTGTATTAGGAGAAGCTTCAGAATTCTTTCAAATGACTTTTTGACACATTTCCATTTTATCCATGACTTTTCTCATTTAACTTATTATAAGTTTTTAAAAGGTTTTTTAATGTTTAAAATTTTTTTTAATTAAAAATTTTTTTAACTTTTATGCGTTTTGCATTCTTGGAATAAACCTTTGTGGTTGTGGTATCACTCTGTCACTTTATTGCTGAATTACACTTGCAATACAGTATTTTACTTGTTTAGAAATTTTAAATCAATATAACTGAAATTGCTCTGTAGTTTTTTTCTATTTATCAAGCTCTGTGCCTCTATAGCATCCGAGTCATAATTCTATCATAGTACTTATTACCTTGATGAAAATTGTGTATCTAATTGTCTGTGCATCAGCAACTGGAGAGCAGGGACGAGGTCATATTCAATTTTCTGTCCTTTGTGCCAAGCACAATGCCTAGGACATGGTAGAAGCTCAAGGCAGCTGTGCTGAATGAAGGAATGAAAAGCCTTTAGAAATATTTTCCTTTAATTTTACCTACCGTTTATAGTTTGCCATATGCTATCTTTAGATTTCTATTGTTCCAATGCCAGTAGTGTCCATGTTTCTATCCTCACTAGCTCCCTTGCAGAAATACCATCACCGAATACAACATTGCAGTTAAAATGAATCAACCAGGGCCACATGTATCAGCACAGATAGAGGTCAAAAGTGAAAGGCTAAACAAAAAAGCAAGGATATGTATAGTATGACACTGTCTGTGTAGAGTTTTTAAAATGCAAACAATACCATGCACTTGTGCTGGTTGTGTGCTGTTGGCTCTCCACCCCACTGCAGCCTTTCTGGGCCACTCTTCTGTATTGCAAGAGGTCAGCAACCTGTGAATGACATGTCACAGGCTCTGGTTAGGTTTTTCCAGTGCAAAGCATTGACAGGAGACTAGAAAACAGAAGGGGAAAGCCACTTTTCTGTCTGCTCTGGTTGTGTGTTCCAGCAAAGGCTTCACCAGCAATAGGAGGAGGTGACTAAAAATGGGCATTTTGGTAGAACCAGTGGCTATTATAGCAGCAGCAGTGCCAACCTGTAGTGATCCAACAAGAAGGAAGCCAAGTGAATAGCTACTCTGGTCCCATTCTCCTCTTCCCCTCCACCTCTCACCAGTACTTCCCACGGCCCCAAACCAACCAGAAGTCATGTCAAGAGAGTAAAGTGAGACAGTACGGCCCAATTTTCTGAGCACAAAGAAAGATGGAGCGTGGATCTGGAGGAGGGGACAAATGGATGAAACTAAACATTATCCCATAGGCTCCTCCAGCCCTTTCTATGCCTTTGTAATTTTCAGTATTAAATCTCCTTTTGTGTATAATACGTAGTGTGGTTTCTTTTTTTTTTTTTTTAATTTATTTCTAGGAGAGAGAGAGAGACAGCGTGAACAGGGGAGGGTTAGAGAGAGGGGGAGACACAGACTCTGAAATAGGCTCTAGGCTCTGAGCTGGCAGTCAGCACAGAGCCCGACGCGGGGCTCGAACCCACAAACCGCGAGATCATGACCTAAGCAAAAGTTGGACGCTTAACCGACTAAGCCACCCAGGCGCCCCACGTAGTGTGGTTTCTATTTTCCTGACAGGATAGTGACTGATTTAGTCTAGCTTATGGATACCAATTGTAAAGAAACAATAACTTGCATAGGGATAATAAACTATGTATTCCATTCCTTCTCAATGGAAGAAAACAGAATGGAATTGGGGACAAATACATAGGCAGTAGCCTGTATATCTGAAATATTTACTTTCTTAGGCTGAAAGTGGGATACATGGATTTTTAAAATGTTATTCTGTTTGTTATATTATCCTCTATTTTTCATATGCCAGAACTATTTAGCCATCCTAATGATTATATATGTGTGTATCTATATATTAATAACTGATGAATAAACAAATGACTAATACCTGACTCTGGATTCTGACTCTGTCATTTAATAGTTATTTGAATGGAGGTAAGTTAAGCTACTTAAGTCTCTTGAGTTTTTGCATCCTCATTCATAAGGCAAAGAATAACAGTACATACCTTACGGGACTATTGTGATAAGCAGAATAATAGATATAAAAAGGCCCTAGCACAGTGGGTAATATAGGACAAGCCCTTAGCAGATCATAGTTTCCTTCTTCCTGAACTTTTAGGCCTTGGTTTTGATAAACTTTTAATTTCAACAAGTGTGCTTTTTTTCTTTTTTAAAGACTTTCATGTTTCTTCTCTGATTATAAGAGTGGTAGTTTTTCAATGTAGAAAATTTAAAAAAACACAGAAACATATAGGGTGAAAATAAAAATGCACTGTAGTTCTGCCCCTCATAAACTGTATATGAATATTAAAATTAGAAAAACCCTATATAGTTCTGTGACATGGTTCTTTAACTTCACAAGATAAACATTTTTCTGTATCAAATATTCTATGACATCACTGCTGCTGGCTATATAATATGTGAGTGGTTGGGATGTTAAGGTTTTTCTAATATTTCACTAATATAATTAATGGCACAATGAACTTCCTTGTTGATAAACCTTTGCCCACATTTCTTGCTAGTTCCTTGGATTTGTGGAAATCCTGGTCAAATCTTAGTGCACTAGAAAACATCTTACAGCTATGGCTATCCTGCTTTCCAGAAAGACTGTAAAGAAAGATTGTACCAATTTATACTTCCTCTAGCAATATTGGAGAGCGCTACTTTTCCACATCAGGAAGATACTTTTAAAAAGAGAAATTGGAACTGACATGAGTTAACAGTGGACTCTACAGCAAGAATTCTAACTGGTTTGATGTTTAAAAAATACCAGCAAAGTGCCATAACTCACAGAGAAAAGGGCTTCCATGGGCCCCTAAAATCTAATTTTAACAGGCTGCCATGCAGAGGCATTCCAGTCAAACTTTTAAGTGTCAACTGCTATCTGGAATCAACTATAAACATGGATACCAGTTGGACGTGATTTGGGAACCAGCTGATCTGTGGGTTGTCTAAATCCAGACCTGACAGTGATACAGTTGGAAAATAATGCAGAACACAACAAGCACTCTCTGCTCCTGGCCAAGGCCTGCGACTTCGATTTCCTGTGTCTTGAACATTGAGCTCTAACCTTTCCCCTGCCTCCAGTTTGAAGGGCCTGAGACCCACTCTGAAGTGGTTAAATCAGAAAAAAGGAAAATAGCAAAAAGGATCAGCTAATAAGAGCTTCCACGCTTTGTTAATTAATTTCTGCAACTCTAACCCTCTGGCATCTGCCAGCTTCACTCTGTATTGGAGCCAATGAATTTCAAAAATAATTAAAGTTAATGAACTGCTCTTTGTGATAGGACCCTGAAAACTTAACAGCCATAATTAGTAGGAAGTGCAAAGTGGGGAAAGTGTCACTTGATGATAAACAGAATTTCCTCATCTTGTTGATACAAGAATCCCGGCCATATGTGAAAGTGATGCTCTATTGAGTCAAAGAAGATGTATGACTGGGTTTACATATTGAAAGTAAATGAAGGACAAGTACCGATTTTGAAAACGATCTCCCTAGGCTAAATTCAGACCTGTCTCCCAACATTCCACAATTATCGTATCAAAATATTGGTAAGAATTCATGATAAAGTGTCCAGCAACCTCAGAGGGTCAGTCATCCCAGCCAAAGTCGAGCGTCGAACTTTCCATCCCTTAGTAACCAAAATAAACAGGAAAGTTAATGAGTGCTGAGAAATCAAACAGTAAATTGAAGGTAGCTCTCTACATTCAGTTTGGGAAGGATTCTTCAGTGTAAATTTCTTGAAAGCAAATGCAAATGAATAGTCTGGAAATAGCTCAATGGCTGGCAGGAAGTGACAGATCTTAGCAGGTGAAACCTCACCTAGGTGTGGGGTATCCCCAACAGACCCTACACATGCCTGAAATCTACTGTAAGATGATTTTATTAACTTAAAAAAATTTTTTTTGTTAAGTGATCTCTCACCCAGCATGGGGCTTGAACTCACAACCCCAAGAGCAAGAGTTGCATGCTCCACTGATTGAGCCAGCCAGGTACCCCAGTAAGATGACTTTACGCGGTAAATGGTGAAACATATTTTTTCAGCTTAATAGTTACAGATTAACTGTAATTCATATTTAAACCATTCAACTAGCATGGCAAAACCAATCATTTCACAAGTCAACTTTTGCTTTCAAAATAAACGTATTTCAGGGTGCCTAGGTGGCTAAGTCAGTTAAGCAGCCATCTCCCGCTTTTGGCTCAGGTTGTGATCTCACAGTTTCATGAGTTCAAGCTCTGCATAACTGTCAGTATGCACTGACAGTGAGGAGCTTGCTTGAAATTCTTTCTCTCTGCCCCTCCCCCACCTGTGCTCTGTCTCTTAAAATAAACTTTAAAAAAAATAAAATCATTTAAAAAATAAACGTATTTCAGTTAAATAATGAGATGAGTTTAAAAACTAAATATGAATGTAGATAGAATTTGGTTCTGCCAAAATTTGAAAATTGGGAATGTTGTGGGAAATTTCAAGGCAGTGATTTTATAATCTTCTTTCTTGAGCTTTAAGATGTACATGTCATCAAATCTAAGGATATTTCAACTATAAAATGAAACATTTTGAAGAAACAGAAAACGCTGCCAACTAACTTATGGCCCATGTGCTCTGAGCACTTAGAATTTTATTTTATGCTTAATGAAAGCTCTCTTTTAGACTTACTCGTCATTTTTTTTTTAAGTATGGAATGTTCCACGAATTTGCGTGTCATCCTTGTGCAGGGGCCAGGCTCCTCTCTGTATCGTTCCAATTTTAGTGTAGGTGCTGCTGAAGTGAGCACAACCATAATTTTTCTTTTTATCACATATTACTGGGCTGTTTCTGTGCCCTACCGTATATATGGTAACTTTTCATTTCAATCCATGTCACAGTATAATTATTTTGAAGATATTTTAACAATAAATCTCAAGTTCTGTGATACTGACAGTGCACATATTCAACGGAGTGACAGTCGAGCCATCTATCTATGACCACATTTTTGCACACACAGTATAATCATTTTGAAGATATTTTAACAATAAATCTCAAGTCCTGTGATACTGACAGTGCACATACTCAATGGAGTGACAGTCGAGCATCTATCTATGACCACATTTTTGCACACATTTTGCACACATTGGCTCTGGCAATACTTTTTTGCTGCACCTGATTTCAGAGGAATAAAAAGGTGATAAAAAATGTATGTCTTAGAATCGGTAACATACAATAACACCTTCAAGGTTCTCCTTAAAGGTCCCTGGGAATTGTTTCCTTTCATGTGTCCTGGGCTTTTTCCAGGAGCAGAGATCACCAACAAAGGTGAGGTAATTTAGAAAGCCTTAGAGGAAATAATGAGTTGGATGTCAGAGTGCTGTGCTACTTCCTACTATCTTGTGCTGTACGGGGTCCTAACTCAGCCAACCGCCAGGCTGGTGCAACCAGGTGACTTCGTGCAACAAATCATCACACAATTGTGATATATGTGTAAAATTCCTAATTAATTCAAGAGCAGAGCTTATGTAGGATTCACCTCTGTGGCTTCATCACCCACCATACCTGGCACAGTATAGGTAATGGTGAACGACGGTTGATGAGACAGCTAGTTGTATTAATTCATAATTCCCCAATGAAATAATAATGATCTTTCAGTAGTGAGATCCTCTAATAAATGTTCACTATGGGTAGAATTATAAGAATTTAGGATTAGCCAAAGCATTGTTCTAACTGCTTTACATTTCTTTTTTTTTTCACGTTTTTATTTTATTTTTGAAAACAAACAGAGTGCGAGCAGGGGAGGGGCAGAGAGAGAGGGAGATACAGAATCTGAAGAAGGCTCCAGGCTCTGAGATATCGGCACAGAGCCTCATTAGGGGCTCAAACTCACAGACTAGGAGATTATGACCTGAGCATAAATCGGACGCTTAACGGACTGAGCCACCCAGGCACCCCTAACTGCTTTACATTTTTTAGCTAATTTCCTACTTAACAATCCCCAGAGTAGATACTATTATTATCCTGATTTTACATATGAGGAAGCTGAGGCACAGAGTCATCAGTTAACTTGCCCAGGATCATACAGTTGTGAGATATCGGAGCCAGATTTGAACTCAGCAATTGGGTTTAGCATTCATTCACTTAACAATTATACTTTATTGCCTCTACCATATAATACTGAACAGCTATAATAAAAGAGTAAAAACAAACATAATTATCTAAGTCCACAGACACTTAGTAAATGTATAAAGTAAGCCACACTCTCTGGATTCTCAATAAACACTTATTTATTGATTGTTCAAAGAATGAGGCAGCAAGAAGTACTCCACGGCATGTTAAAATTAACGCAACAAAACCCATGCCATCAGCGAATGCACTGAAGAGGGTTGGAGGACTGATCTTAAGACTGTGACCATGAAGTGCAGGCAAAATGTCAAACCAAGGCAAAAACTTCCAGGCTCCAAGCACCTATAGTGGATACACTAACTCAGCATGTGAAAGTGCTCACGTGAGCCAGCCCAGGGTTAAGTCCAGGCCTTATTTTGACCATGCAAGCCCTGAGACAGTATTTGGAATTTAGTGAGCTACAGCCATGAATTACCTTGAACTGAAATCAAATATGATGAAGTCTTGTCATTGTCTGGATCCTAGCAGCTGCGATGAATAGCATTAGGGAAGTTAATTAAACCAAGGAATTGAATTTTTCTTTTTTAAAGAAATGGCCATTGGGTGTTAATCAGCTCTAAAGAAGAGAGCAGAAAGCCCAGGGGATCCATAAAAGAGCTTTGCCCTGTAAGCACAGTTGCCTCACCTCTGACCTCCATAACTGGCAAAGAATCGGGCTCTGGCAATATTCTTTGTGAAGTTAGCAGCTTGAATCACTGCCACCAGAAAATGAGTTTTCTCTACCCCAAATGAATTCTCCTGAACCACTGAAACATAGGTCTATGTTCCTGAATGGCTATTATTTGGAAGATTGCTAGAGATACTGCAAAATCTGCTCCTTATCCCTACCCCCTTGTCTGGAAGCTGCAAGTCATGGTATTTAGCCTCTGGTTCAATGGAACAAAACTCACAGAAAGGAAAAACTGGCTGGGCAAGTGATATGCCCAGGGTGAAATTGAAAACTGCCTTGCAAATATGAAGATACACATAAAATGAGCAAGTAATAAAGAAGGAGGGACTTATTTACTGTGCTACCTCTTACCTTTGAGAGAATCCACATGACTGAAGTCCTGATTTTTGATTGCACCAGGGTGTGACATATGGGGACAGGCAAGGAAGAGCAACTGAATTCTACTGAGTCTGAAATCTCTGAGTCAACCGTAGTGAACTACTGACCAGCTGCCACAGGGTCACATCCAGAAGTTTCCATTTCTCTCATGTCAATAGTCTGGAGATTTTTACAATAAAATGTTTAATACCCATAACCGTAAAAACTGATTGACGTTCTACTACCATTGCTAGTACTACCACTTCTACCACTACTCAAAACAGTCTGTTGATAGTTTCCCTTTTGTGAAAATATATCCTTATGTGGTAAGTTGGCTGGCCATAGTGTTCCATCACTTTCTCCAGCCCCAAGGAAACCATTTAAGACATTGTTGTAAATCCTCATGTCATCTCCAAGTCCTGTCTAATCACAAGCTTCCATAAAAACAACATATCACTTGGAGAAGTATTCACCTCATCCATTCAGATTCTATCCCATTTAGTGTTCGGACTATGCATTCTGTTTCAAATGAAATACTCCCTAGACTGGCGAATGCTGAAAATGGAATCCTTTTGAAGAAACGAAAAATAGTTATATAAGTAACAACATTATCGTAGTTTATTTTTAAATGTTTATTTTGAAAGAGCATGCACAAGTAGGAGCAGAAAAGGGAGAAGGAGAGAGAGAATCCCAAGCAGGCTCCCAGAGCCTGATATGGGGCCTGATCTCACAAACTGTGAGATCATGACCGGAAATCTTGAGTTGGAGGCTGGGCCGCCCAGGTGCCCCTGTAGTTTATTTATTTTGGCAAGTGCAGTTCCTGGCTTATTGTAAATACTCAATAAATATTTATCAAATAACTAAAGCATAAATATGTGGTAGATATTGAATGCAACTGGACATTTTGTATACCCCCTCCTCCCCATCTATCTCTCATTGTGTTCTAGTCACTTTTTGTATGTGATGGCTCCTGGACTGCTCTGGATCTCCCTGCGTCCTGACCATACCATGACAACCAAGGTTTAGGCAGTCACTTGAGGACTCCTTCCTTTCCCTCACATCCATAAGGGCACTGGTTCTATATCTTGCTCCTCTCTGTGTCTGCAGCATGCTACTTGTGGGGGGGGGGGATGCAGGAGGGCATGTGGGAGCATATAGGCTTGTCTGCCTTCCTTTGGGACTCCCTCCCTCTTCACCTGTTTACCTGTCACGTCTCATCCATCTTTTATGTTAAGGTGGCAGCAGCTATGCCTATACAAGGGAGCCTAGACATAGTCCCAGCAGAAAAAAATGGACAAAGGAGGGGCGCCTGGGTGGCTCAGTCAGTTAAGTGTCAGACTTTGGCTCGGGTCATGATCTCATGCTTCGTGGGTTTGAGCCCCGCGTCAGGCTCTGTGCTGACAGCCAGCTCAGAACCTGGAGCCTGTTTCAGATTCCATGTCTCCCTCTCTCTCTGACCCTCCCCTGCTCATGCTGTCTCTCTCTCTTTCAGAAGTAAATAAAACATTAAAAAAATTAAAGGGGCAGCTGGGTGGCTAAGTCAGTTAGGCATCTGACTTCAGCTCAGGTCATGATCTTACGGTATGTGGGTTCAGGCTCCACATCAGGCTCTGTGCTGACAGCCAGCTCAGAGCCTGGAGCCTGTTTCGGATTCCATGTCTCCCTCTCTCTCTGACTCTCCCCTGCTCACGCTCTCTCTCTCAGAAAAAAAAAATTAAAAATTAAAAAAAAATTTTTTAAATGGACATAGGACATAGAAAGTTTTCTAGGGAAATAACAAATCTCCGAGAAAAATACACAAAAAGAACAAATCCCACTTTTTGCCAAAGAAGGCAAAATTAAAAGGAATAGGATATACCTATCAGAAAGACAAGAAATAAAAGGGATGAGAGAGAGGATGGGAAAGGCATTTTTACTGTTTGGGGAAAGTAAATTCATACAACTTACTCAAGGACAACTTCAAACATGTATAAAATCCTTAAAAGAAGGATAGTGTCAAATTCAGGAATTTCATTTTTAGGAATTATCCAAAGGAAGATTAGAAAGATGTACAGTTGATCCTTGAACAACACAGGTTTGAACTGCATGGATCCACTTACATGTGGGTTTTTTCAATAAATACTGTAAACGTACTTTCTATTCCTTATCATTTTCCTTTTTTAAAAAAATTTTTTTAATTTCTGAGAGAGAGAGAGAGACAACACGAGCAGGGGAGGGTCAGAGAGAGACGGAGGCACAGAATCTGAAGACAGGCTCCAAGCTCTGAGCTCTCAGCATAGAGCCTGACATGAGGCTCAAACCCACAAACCATGAGATCATGACCTGAGCCGAAGTCGGACACCCAACTGACTGAACCACCCAGGCGCCCCTCCTTATAATTTTCTTAATAACATTTTTCCTCTAGCTTACTTTATTGTAAGAATATAATATCTAGTAATATAATATAAATATGTGTTAACTGTCTACATTACCAATAGGCTTCTAGTCAACAGCAGGCTATTAGCAATTAAGTTTTTGGGGGGACCAAAAATAATATGTGGATTTTGACTGAGCAAGCAAAAAACAGAAGTTTGGTGAAACAAATTATGCTATGT